TGTATGTGTGTGTATGTGTGTGTATAACTACATATGTAATCTCTCTATATAATATATATCTACATTTTTCTTCTGTTATATGTATGTGTGTGTATGTGTGTGTATAACTACATATGTAATCTCTCTATATAATATATATCTACATTTTTCTTCTGTTATATGTATGTGTGTGTATGTGTGTGTATAACTACATATGTAATCTCTCTATATAATATATATCTACATTTTTCTTCTGTTATATGTATGTGTGTGTATGTGTGTGTATAACTACATATGTAATCTCTCTATATAATATACATCTACATTTTTCTTCTGTTAATACTTTTAATGAATCAGACAATGTGCACCCACATGTATGAGCCAAGCTACCAACTCAAACACCAGTCTTTTCTAGAAACATCCTTCCTAGCACACCGAGAAATAATATTTTATCAACTCTCTGGTTAACTAAACTCAGTTATGTTGACTCATAACTTTGAATCATCATACCATGCAATCTTCTAAAATCCGGAATGGTTGTTAAGGTACTTGTCCTGAACTTTCTGGTAATTCTGGTACCTGTTTAAAAGTTCTAGTTTGATGAGTGATGGAATATGAACACACCCATTACCTTTTGTTCTAAAGCTTGGTCCACCCCAAGCAGGGTGTGTTAACATGGATAATAATCTCAGTATTAATATTATATAGGTTTTGATTGCATATCAAGTAACTTTTTGAAAACTTTTTTTAATAAATTTTGCAGCCTACCAATCATGAAATATTACTTCAAGAATTATCCAATTCTTTGATTTAAGCTCTGATTTCATAAAGTTATTTTATGATGATGTTGTTATCAGAGGGTGGAGAAAAATGTGGGAAATTGTAATAGCATGTTAATAATAGGTACATGATCTGATGAATTTCGACATCTGCTTCAGAGTCTGTGTATTTGCAAAACAAGTTAGTACTGAGGCTCTGATATTTGAACTGACAAATCAGCTTCATGTTGTTAGAATGATTATATTGCCTGAGAGGGTTTCCAGTCTACATTTCTCCAATGTCTGATGGTCCAGTCTTTATGGAACTATTTTAATCTAGCCATTGAGAAGAGGTTGGAAAAAGAAGGATACTATGGGGTTCAAAACTCTCTGTTTGGGACTGTTTTGTATTAGCTTTTTATCTTATATTTATACACCTGTACCAGACAACATTGAAGAAACCTGGAAAGTAATGGCTTTGGATGCAGTTGCTAAAACTTGCACATTTATGGTAAGGCCAATATATTTTTTTCTCACTTGGGGTGTCTTATTGGTTAAAAAATGAACATTTGTGAGTTTTTGTTAATAATATTAATAAGCTAATTTTGAGAAAAGCGTTGCTAGCTTTTGAACCAAATAACAATAAAAAATGAAAAGAAGTTGAAATACAATTCTTAGAATTTTTGTCTCTATAGTATTTATGCTTAAAAGTAAGGCTTCTGTTATACCATGATGTACAAAAGAAACAACATTATTGAAGAGAAGAGTTTTGAAATTTATTTGTTAATTTGACTTTCACTTCATTTTTCAGGGACAACCTTGTCCTACAATTATAATCTAAAGACATATAATGTTGGTGTTTGCAGCTGTTTGATGTTGTCAGGACTTCTGTTATTTCCATGACTTCCATCATCTCTCTTCAATTCTAATTTGCTGAATTTCCACGATTATCTAACTTGGAATATGCAGAGTGGACTGAGCTCCCCTTAGAGTTAGAAACTAGCACTTTTGACATATCATGTACATACTTTCATTTAATATACCACCGCTCAATACCCACTGTCATCTACTCAAACAAATGTATAGGACAGGAAAAAGATATTCAGAAGAGACCATGCAGGCAGAAAGCAACCGCTGTAAATCTGAACTCTTGATGGTCTCATTTTGAAATCTGTTCTCTTTTCTGTATGAAATGGGCACATTCCAGAATGTTCTTTGGTAGCTCTGGCCATTGTAGGTGAAGTAGAAGGCAGCAGCATTAGCAGATAATCAGACAAGAGGGCAGTTCAGACACTGTCTCGGTGCTTTATACAGCCAGGACAAGTCTGTGACCATGCCAGCTCTGGTTGGTGTCCACTGAGCCCATATGCTCTTCTGGCTGCTGCTTCTATAAGCTTAGTTTCTCCACAACTGCCTCTTTGTCCAGTGCTATAACTCTCGTTTTAGTACAGATTAAAGAATATATGGGCAAGCCCGTGTCAGCTCTATACATAGACTTGTTTTGTATACTTTGGTTATTTCATATGCATTTAATTCTCAGAATGAAAGATATTATTGCTCTCATCAAAACCACATTATCAGAACATCTATCTCTAAATTTTCTTTTACTTTCTCAGCTCCGTTGTCTAAAACGAAATTACACACTTTATGTATCTGATATTATATATGGAGTATTCTTCATCTCTAAATGTGATATAAATGATAAACAAAATAGACATAACTGAATTTTATTCTAGAAAATTTAGAGATATTTAGTTAATTTAGTATTGAATTCTATAATTTGAGTTTTTAACATATTAAAATAAAAATCAAACTTCATGATAATCTAGTTTTGAAAAATAAATGTATTTCTATTCAATCATACCTTGTTTTGGAAGAAAGAGTATGGAAAATATATACATCTAACCTTGAGAACGAGCCTTTACTGTACATTTTACAGTTTACTTGAAAATGCGGGTTCCAATTGTAAACACTTGTCAAGGCTGTTTTGTGTATTAAAGATCAGTTATGCTAGAAGAGCACATGATACTCTTTGGTCTTAAAATGCTTAAGTATCAATTCACACACAGAAAATTTTGATATATGAGCTGTAAAATCTAATTTCCAAAGGACAATTCATTGAATGAAAAGTTAGATGAATGTATATATGCCTCAGAAACTTACATTAGTAACTATCCTATTCAATTGTATGTAGTTAGCTGTTAATTTTTTATATTTTTATTTATTTATTTATTTATTTATTTATTTATTCATTTATTTATTTAGTGTGTGTAGGACAGGCACATGTGTGTGATTAGAGGACAGCTTGTAGGAGTCCTCTCCTTCCACCGTGTGGGTCCTGGAGATCAAACTCAGGTTTTAGGGCTTGTCAGCAGGTACCCTTTACCTGCTGACACACCTCACAGACCCCTCAACAATCAGTGTGTCAAGAGAACTTAAATAATAATGCAGTAAGATTTATTGAATATTATTATGTACCACATTCTCCTATGCACATTGAAAGTACTCCCTCATTTGAATTCTACTATAGCCCAGTGAGAAAGTTTTTTATTTTTCCATTATCATTGTAGAAATAAAGAGTGACTTGCAGGGAACACCTTGCTCACTAGCTTTCAACAAGTAGTGGTGGCATAGGCTAATAGAGAACTAGATGTGCATGATATTGACACGTATAGCAACTTCCTGACTGCATTTCTGTCATCCAAGTGCAGAAAACAGATGTAGTACCTTCAATTGGAGCAAATGTAGCAATAAAGGCTCTTTAATGTAGTATTGGCTATGTAACTATTAAAGCTTGTTCTTTGGGTAAATTGTCCTCTGATATGACACAAAGTTCCTAGAGAGCTGATGAGAAAAGCCCAGGACTGTTAGTAATGTCCAATCAGGATTTAGGAGGAATGGGACAAGGGGCACTAATCTTTTTAGAGTTGAAACCAGAAACTCAAGATCATGTATAGTATAGTCATATGAGAATAAACATTGAGTTAAATAAAATAACTTAAAAAGAAAATAGGATAACGCATAGAAATTAGAGGGGTTCTATGACCATTAATTTTAGATAAAAAATTTATAATTAAGAAACAATCACAAGCCAGGTGTAGTGGCACGTGCATTTAGTTCCAAGAGCCAGAGGCAGAACTCTGTGAGTTCAAGGTCAGCTTGGTTCCAGGCCAGCTGGGTCTACAGGGAGATCCTGAATTAAAAAGAAAAAAAAAAAAAAAAAAAAAGGGAAAACACTTACATAAAGCCTTTAAAAAGCCAGTAAAGATGTGATTCAGATGATAAAAACACCTGAGATTTTTAACAATCAGGAAGGTTGTCCAATAAGATCTGCACAAAGTTATTTGGACATAACATTTACAAATTCTTTCTTTTTCATTATGTTTTTTTCTGCATTCTTCCTCTAGCTTTCTCTTTATATGTATTTATGTTAAAGATCTGAATGTTGAATTTCGTTTCTTTTGTTTTGCTTGTATAGGCTCTGTGTCTTGAAAATATAGGTATCATGAGATATGAAGATTTCATTTCCATGATAATCAGGCTGGATTACATCCAGCCACTTTCAGATGAATACGTCACAGTGATTGATACGGCTTTTGTTGACATCCCTGTACGTTTGTACCTACCCAAGAGAAAGTCAGAAATCCCCAGAAGAGCTGTGATCTACATTCATGGAGGTGGTTTTTGTTTTGGAAGTTTCAGTAAGTTCATCGTATAAGGAAAAAAAAAACTGGCTTTGCATTTTTAATCTTAAAAATTGATATATTTATATATACTTACATGGATGTGCTTAAAACAGCTATAAGCACTAGACACTAACACAAAGACAAATGCAGTATATGTGTGTGGCAAATGATATGATAGAGACTTTTCACTTCAGGTTTGGTTTTGAATTGAAACTATTTTTTTTATTTCATGATAGGGTCTCATGTATCCCAGGCTGGCCTTGAACTCATTATGTAGCTGAGGTTGATCTTATGATCTTCCTGTCTCTACCTCTTGATTACTGGGATTGTAGGCATGTGCCATCACACATGATTTATGCAGAGCTGAAATCTGAACTAAAATATGACATATTGTTCCTTACAGGAAGACTGATAGTTTTTGCTACCAGCACTGAGATGTTGGTGCATGCATCTCTAATCTGTATGCATCTTATTATTACTAGTCATAATCGGTTATTCTCAAATGAAATGGAGATCTTTTTTAAAGGTTAAGAAACTCATTCAATTTTATGTCTGACAGGGCTTATACTCAGTTCAATATTGTATAACTGTATTAACTGTGAACCTAAAAACTTGCACCCACTTGTGAAAGAGATGTACTCTTGCTCTGGAGTGTGTTACTGAATATGTTAAATTTGTAGTGAAATGCTTCTTCTAATCATGTAGTTTTTAAAAAATTTAAAAATAATGATTAAAAATAATAAGAATTAGTATACATGAAAAACATTACCATTTAAATCTATCTGATGACTTTATATCCATGGTCAGATGCCAAGGCGCTCAGAAAGTAGCTGACTGCCACTAGCTATAATCAGATATATGGAGATTAGACACATATGTGCAAACATCTTAATGTCAATTGCATTGAAAATGAATTTTTCTGTATGAAATTGTATATTTTAATAATGAAATGGAGTTCTTTTTTAAAGTTTAAAATCTCATTTAATTTTATGTCTTACATGGCTTGTACTGAGTACAATATTGTATAACTGTAATAATTCAACTGTAAACCTAAAAATTTACAGCCAATTTTGAAAAAGATGCATCTTAGCTCAGAAAATTTGTTATTGAATATGTCAATGCTGTTGTAATGAAATGCTCCTTCTAAGTATGTAGTTATTAAATAAATAATTAACTGGGGGAAAAAACAAAAAAAAAGACACCTCTGATGTTGATTTTTATGCACTTAAATGTCTTGTGCTTCATGCTATTAAAAGTTCAGTTTGGAGCAAAAAAAATTATGATATAAACAAGTCAAACACTAAAATAGTTTTCCCTTAGGACTCAGATTATATTCAGCAGAACATTGACATGATGTTGATCAGCACGTGCTATTGCTAGAAGACCAAGTCTGTAGATAGTTACTGAAAACAGTAAAAGTACTACTTAAAAAAGGCTTAGGGTGATGCTATGCACCCTGACTCTAAAAAGGAAAACACAAAGTAGAACTATATGATCACAAACTGATGATGAAGCTCACATTCTCCACTTGTCTCCTGAAAAGGAAAAGACAGCTCTTTAAAAAGAAAATACCAATAAATTGGCCTTTGTGAAAACTGCAGATTTCCACAATGAAGTAGAAGTATATCAATATATGGGGAGCCACTGTATGTAAATTAATAAAAACAAGCAGATTAATGGACTGTGGAAATTTTTTAAAATATACTTTTTCATTCTTTTTCTGTCTCGATTTTAAATAGTTTAAAATAGCAACTCCATAACAACAGAGTTAACCAATTATTAACAATGATGATTAGCAATAAGAAAACAAGCAGTGGAAATCAATGATGAACAAAGATTAAATTAATATATAAAATGTTAAAACAGTTTGGCTGAAATTTTAGCTTTATAACTCTATGTACTCATGCTTTCTGACAACTACCAAAATTGATAGTTATGAATTTTATAGGGATTTGTTAAAAGAAAATGATAGATTTGACTTAAGTAGAGATTAAAGGTTTTATTGACTAGCCTTCGGGACGACTTGAAGAGCCTAGAGGTTGCACAGGTTTCTCAATTACAGATTATGAGGGTTTTTTTAAATAGAATGGGAAAAAGTAGGCATGCTTCCTTGCAGTTTGGAGTTGGAAACAGTATTCGGTGTATTAGAGACCAACTGTTGGGATCATTCTTGTGTCCCCGTATCTTTTTTGGCACAATTCTGAAAGAACAGTATTGCTTATTGTTATTGCATGCCTAACGCTTTGTCAATTCTTCAAAGTTCACAGAGTAAAGATGGTAGGTAGCAACACAAGATAAATTCCCAGATACATACAGAGGCCTTGGGTTAAGAAGGATCCTCTATAACGTTGGTTCATTCTTTTCACGGTCTTTAAATTAAAAAGAAAGATGCAAAACTACATAGCTTTTCATACGAAGATAGGAAATTCAACTCTATTGCCTTAGGAAAAAATCCATATATTTTATGAACAACATATTTAAATTCACATTTATACTTAGCTCTCAATGTTTATGAATGCTTTTTTCTGAATATTGGACCCAATTGAAAGATTATACCCAGAATTCATAAAAGTGAAAGTCAAAACATTATAATCATTTCTAATGAAGTCTTTGAGAATGTGTGTTTAGCTATTGTCGCTGTGTGTGTGTCTTGGATTACAGACCCAGCTATAGTGGCTGGCCATACTGATCAATCACAACACTTTTCCCTCTGAAACTTCCAGACTGAAGGAGCAGACCACAGCAAAATGTACCATGGCACAAAGGGACCTGGGAAGGGTCATTGTGCAGAGACAGAAGATGCCAAGAATAAACTAGAATGCTCCATGCCTAACTTTTCTTCTTCAAAATCCCAATTGGCTAAATCATCTCTTCATCTCTGGAGAGAGATTAAGGAATATGCCATTGATTCAGTTCCCTCTGCATGGAAACAAGTAGAGAATAAGGTTCCTATCTAATAATCTATCATTACATTTCTCACATTCATAGTTATCATTATTTCTATCACACTTCAATTGCATGAGTGACTTTGTCTTTTCTCTTTTCATTTCAGAGCAGAGGGCTTTTGACTTCCTGAATAGATGGACTGCAGAAAGACTTGATGCTGTTGTTGTAGGAATGGAGTAAGAGAATTAATTTCTTTGACTATTATGATTTTTGCCTTAACTGCATATAGGTTCCAAGTAAAGGCATCTATGCCCCAAATGTATTTTTTAAATTACTATAAATTAGTTGTCATCATTACAGCATAAATTACCCCTCAAAGGTGTCTTGAACCCTATTATTCTCTTTTAATTACAGAGATCTTTGTGTTACATCCTAGCTCGAGCATTTGGGGAAAGCCTATTGCTTAGATCCTATAAGATTTAGCTGTGTCCTGCATAAAATAGGCAGGAGGGAGTAAATTAACCATTGTTCACTTAAAATATTTGATCATATTTGGGCTGGTAAGAAAATGTTTACTTTCAAAATAATTATTGTTTAGAGTAATATGGTTTGAGACCTGTTGAAAACTTTAACCCACTCTCTGGAAAAGTGATCTTATATCCTGAATCATTTGGAAGCATCTTAGGCAATCTATCATTTTCTTACCTAAATTGATGTATTCTTAATGTCTGAATCCAGGATTGATTCTAAAATTCATCATTCTCAGGAGGAAATTTTTCTCCCATCTTCTCAGTAGTTTAACATATAGAAACAAAAAAAAATTAGAGACTTGTAATCCAATAAATTTTATAGGGCATGTGGATATAATTTTTTAAACTAGGAAGCTATGAAAGTTTAGATCAAGTAAATGAAGATTTAAGCATCTGAAAAAAGTGGTTATTGGCATATTCATGATGACCTTGAAGAGCATATTAATGGCTATTTCTCAGTTATGATACTAGAATGGTCTAATTTTCATTTGTATAATTTTAGAAGTCATTGGAATCAAATAATTTTAAACTCATTTTTAATGTATTGATTTAAGTGTATGCTTGCCATAAATTCCATTCAGCCCTTAGTAATTTACAAAGTTCTAAATCAATTGCATTTGAAATAACAGATGTCAACATCTTTTGGGTACATAGCCATGTCAAAATCATGTCTTATTTAATGTTTTTCTAAGGTAGTTTATTATTAAATTCCAAGAACCCTCATACCCAGCACTTAATAATAAATATAGATGTTTACAAATTTTAATATTCTGAAGAACAAGAAGCATGAGTTTTTGCTAATGGATATTCTTCTATTATTACTGATCCACATATACGCAGAAAAAAATCACTTGTACCTATTAAACCAATCATATAAGAATTTGTCTTGCAAATGGACTTACAAGAAAGAAGCAAGCTCACTGGCAGAATGATGGTGTTTGTTTCAACACTTTCTCTAGAATCAGCTGCTGGGCATTATTCATGATAAAGCTTAAAGAATTTTTATCTAAATGACCTTGAAAAACAGGACATTTTCTAAGACTGTATTCTCACATTTGCTGTCTTAAAAAAATCCATGGTTCATTTTCAATGAGGATTTTAAATATGTTTGCATAGCCATGTACATAAGAACACGATTATAGATGTGTTCAAAATGCACCAGAAGTAATGATTTCACTTACAAACTTAAGGGAGTTTATAATTCCCTAAGTTCACATAAAACATCATCCATGGACTTTAAGCATAGAGTTGAGGCAGCATTATATTGATTTTCATTTTAATCAACAATTAGAAGAAAACTCAGGATCAGTTTAGGGAAACTGTATACTACGACCTGGTGTTAAATTGCGTCTTTTAGAAGTTTGACACCTTGTTGCCTGGGTACAACTGTATATGCTTTCTTACTCTGTTTTAAAGCTACAGACTAGCTCCTGAGCATCACTTTCCTGCACAGTTTGAAGATGGCATTACTTTACTGAAGTTTTTTCTTCAGGATGAAATTCTTGCAAAATATGGAGTAGATCCTACCCGAATTGCTATTTCAGGAGACAGTTCTGGGGGCACTCTGGCAGCTGCCTTGACTCAGCAGGTACTGTATCTGAGGCTGTATGTTGGAGGTGGGGGTTGAGGCTTATTGTTTTTCAGTTATTCTTCTGACAGCAATTGTTGAAAATCCATTTATCCATTCATTCACATAAATTACAGTGGTACTCAATTGACCACAATGTAACTGCCTTCTTCGGCCTCTCCTATTGCACTGATGTACATATCTATCTTCACCTCAGCACTGCTCTCATTTCAACCTTGATCTTCTTTTGTAAAGGTTGTTTCTAGTCTTCATTTCTTATACATTTGAATATTATAGTATGTTGTTAATTTCTACCCAAGAAAGCTTAATTGTATTTTGATTAGGATTGCATTGAATCTGTAGATTTGGGCATGATTAACATCATATTGGTATTGAAATTTCCAATTAACAGAGATGCTATACCTCACCTTTTAGTAGTTTCTCTTCAATTCCACAACAATATTAAAATATTAAAGCATAGAAGTAATGCAAGCCTCTTCTCAAATTTATTCTTGAATTATTTTCCAACATAATTCATCTAAAGTATGTCCGTTATTTGATTTATCATCAATAAACTATATATAAGCTCAGGCAGAATTTCAAGTTTCCTAGAATGTCCTGAACAACCACATCTTCAGTGACTTGAGAATTTTCATTATTCCTTTTCAGTCACTCTGTCTTTTACCTTTATTAGTGCACTGGCTATGGCCTCCAATACAATACCATTTGTGACTGTCATTGTTTGAATCTACTTGAAATACTTCTAATTTATGATGTTGTTTGTGGGCACTTAAATATATGAAATGATTTTAAATTTGGATGATTTATTTTTTAAAATATTTTGCTTATTATTTTTATTTTATGTGTATGAGTGTATTGTCTGCATGTAGGTAAGTGCACCTGTGTCGTGCAATGCCCGTGGAGGACAGAAGAGGCCATCAGATCCCCTGGAACTGGAGTTACAGACAGTTGTTAGCTGCCATGTGGGTGCTGGGATTCGAGCTTGAGTTTTCTGCAAGAACAACCAGTGTTCTTAACCACTGAGCCATCTCTCCAGGCCCAAAATTTGATGATTTCTATAAGTTGTTATTTGGAATAGTTTCCAGTAAAATTTTAGAATATTAGAAAATAAACTTTACAAATTCAGTCAATGTATATTAATTGAAGCTTGTTTATAGTTCAGCAAATGGGTCATCTTATAAATTGTCTAAATCATTTAAAAAGATACGTATTTTCTGCAGACACTTAAAAATAATGTAAAAATATCAATTAGAACAGTTGATTCTTAATTTTTACCCAGTTGCATCATTTGCTGACAACTTTCAGTTAAAACGTGGAGGAGAAGTTGTAGAATGATGCAAGCAGTGATTGATGGGCTGTTCTTAGGAGGGTTTGGAAGGCAAGAATGCCAAGAGCAATGTCAACAAAGAAGGCTGCGCGCATGAGTTTTCAGTCACGGGGGACGATATAGTCTCTCTTGGGAACAGGATGAGAGGTCGTTTGTACTCTGTTCTTAGAATCTGGCTGCTTTCTGCCTGTGTCTTGAGATTGGAGTGAGGTAGAAATGAGGAGCAGCCAGGCTGTGGCATGTTATCATTTACTGCATTTATCAGATGTGCAGGGAAAGAGAAGCACAAAGCGAAACGAAAATTGTGAGACATATACAGTTTGGTGAGAAAAGGAACTTGTATCTAGTTGTTGCGGATAGGGTGAGTTCAGACAAAATGACTGTGATTATTACAGTGATTGGTGTCGTTAAGGAGAAATCTTGGACCCCACCTTAGGACATTAGGGAAGCTAGACACCTTGAGAGAAAGACCCACTCCTTAAGGGCTCCAGGGCAGCAGTACAAATTCTTTCGAGTGGATAATGTCAGAAAATAGAGCCTTCAGGATGCTCTACTTAAAACAATTTCCAGGGAACTTTTCTCCGCAGATTCAGCTGTGCAGGCATGCAGAGACCACCACAACTGGAATTCAAGGAGACCAATGTCCAGCTTGACTTGGCAGCAGAGCTCAGCATTGTCCACATGGTGCTGGTTTTGCAGACATAAGGGGTACAAGACTGGGGGCTTTATTTAAGTTTGTACCAAGGTTCCATAAACCAGTTGTTGATTTTCTGTTTCATTTTGCTTTGCGGAAAATATTCATGAGGTCTATGAACCTCCTTGGATCTTCTGGAGATTTTAGGCACTTTTACATATACGATAATATACTTTTTAATTTACCATCTACAAATAAGGACATCAATTTCTTCCTCTCTAATTTATACCCTTTTATTTCTTTTTCTTTGTCACTGCTCTAGGTAAAATTTCCAGAGCAGTGATCACTGTCTCATTTATCATTTTAGAAGAAATATTCTCAGTTTTCTTCAGTTAGCTGTTGTGTGTAATCTTTAAGTTTTGACATTTACTCCTTCTGTACCTAGTTTCTTTAAATTTTTTACTATGAAGGGATGATGGATTTGTCAAAAATTCTTATGTATGGATCTATTGTAGCAATCATGATCTTCATTATTCTTTACATTTATGAACAGAATTGCATTTATTGATTTGTATATGCTGAACCATTCTTAACACTGTTTGTATAAAATCAACTTGATCACATTTTATTATCCTTTCCATGTATTGTTGAATTTGATTTGCTTATTGAGGAGTTTTAAGTCTTCATGGAAATCTGTTTATAGTTTCTTTTTTATGTTCTTATCTAAATTTGGTATCATGATCAAACTGACCTGTAGAATCATGTTAGAAGCATAATTTCCTTCATGTTTATGGAATCACTTGCTGAGCATCGGCTAGTTTTATTTTAAAAGGTCTGTTGAATTCAGTAGTGAATCTGTTCATGAATTTTCTGGGCATTTATTTCTTGGATAGCTCTTATTACTGTTTCAATCTCATTGAATATTATATATGTTTGTTTCTTATACCCTGTTCAGGTTTGGTTTGGTATATTTCTGATAACTCCTTTTTTTAAACAATTTAACACTTCTTTTTTCAGCTTTAAATATTTGTTCTGTGTGCTTAGCATTTTAACTACAATGTGACATTGAGAGTGTTTCCTTGGGTCATGGATTTGGTGAATTTCTACTATAATTTCTTTGACTTGCCTTCCTGTGTCTTCAGTCTGTTTTCTATCTTCGTCCTATACTGCAGCATGCCTAAGGTTTTGTGAGTTAATTGTGTCAGTGTTCTTAAAGGCTATGCTCATAATTGCCCATATCTTTATGTATTATTACCTGAGTATCATAACTGAGGCAGAATAAGGCACAGAATGAAGTTAAGAAGTTCTTACTTGGCCTTTTGACTTATGTGTGGATATGTGCACGAATATCACATATACATTTTAGGATGAGGTGTGGATTGCAATTATGGCATTAAAATATAGGAATAATTTTCCGTCTGCCTGTGCTCTCTTCCCCCTGACCACTGATACTATTGAAAATTTCCTGAGATCAGACTACTAAGAAAAAGTTACCAAAGTAGGCAGTGGGGTCCCAGATTCTTCAAATTATCTTTTAAATTTAGCTTTTTGGGTTTGTAACAAGAGAGATAAAGTGGAGACAGTCCAAAACAGCCAAGGAAAGCAATTATAGACAAAACAAAACAAAACAAAACAAAACAAAAACCCACCTGATGGGCTGACTGCCATGCAAGTGAGTAACAATGCCTTTCTCTAGGGAAGATAATATCCTACTCCCTCAGAGATTATATCCTTCCTCCAGGCGGAGGAGAATTCTGAAGGCGACATGTTTACCCCAGTGTTTCCCCAGGTAAACCAAGGCACTAGAGAGTGACTACTCCTAGTGAGGGTACAAGTGAACTGGGCTTTTCCCTCTCTGCAAAGGGAGAATCCATTGTAAGGAGGTTATTTGACCCTTTGAAGAAAGGACAAGGCTTTAGCTCATTCCCTCAAAGACTGAAGCTGCCCAGGTTTTCCTTTTGAAAGCTTCTCCCCAGTGACTGCAAATAACCGTTGAGACACCTCAGCCTACTCTAAGCATGGCAAATGCAGTTGTTATCTTTATTTTTTTCTAATACTGGACCTTCATTCTCTCCCTAGATGATAAGCCAGAGCCCCTTACTAAATAAATTCATATGGTAACCAGTGTTTATGCAAATGCCCACAAGGAGTTACTGTTGTAAATCCCAGCCGTGGGAATTGTCCTATATATTTCCCAGTAACAAGCCATGGCATTAGGAGTCCTCACCCAAAAGTTAGGTCACATTCCTAGATTTATAGCTCACCTTTGCAGCTTCTCTGTAATATATGGATAACTAGGATGCTTACAAGCCATGGAGGCTATTTCAACTAAAAAATGGTTGGTGGGCACAGGGTAACATAAGACTCTGTTGTCTCCTAGGGAAACACATGGCCATGGTTTTCCTGGCTCTTGACTTTTGGGGGACCATTGATTAATACTACCATGTTACTGTTTGGACAATGTATTTCCAGCTTCCTTGAAAATTTTGTCGCTTCCAGGATATAGCAGTTCTAGACTAATATATGCAGATTTCTTCAACAAATGGATAGAATAGAGAAATTCCTGGTCACTTTTAGTCAGAGACTTTACCTTTCAACAATATGCAAATAGTTCTAAAAGATGGATCATCAGTCTCTCTAAAAGATTTCTGAGACTGCAGCTGGGGTGGGGACAGTGATATTGAGACAGGGGGATAGGGTGGAAAGTGAGGGCTTGAAGGCCTTGTGCAAAGTTTTACAAAATTAACACGTGAAAACAAGACAAGTTGACAAAGCGAAGGCTGAACATCCCCTTGACTAGGGCAACTAAAATTAGCTAACATCATTGGCACAGAGATACCCAGATTGTATGAGAGTGACCTGCAGCTCATTAATAATACTGAAACACACATGCTGGGTGGTGATTCAAGATGTTGATGAGGCATGCAGTATATGAAATTGTATGCAAAATTACATATAGCAGATAGAAAATGTGAAGAAAAGCCCACTTTATCCTAAACACATACTATGCAAATGTGCCAGAAAAGAAAGGCAATAGCT